CCCCCCTTTTTTTTTTTTTTTTTTTTTTACAATGACTACCTGACCTAGTTAACGGGAAGGCTGTATTTTGGAGGACTGCTGATGCTGTCTGTATCCTGTTCCTACAGTGGTTGGACACCAAGGGCCTGATTCTCAGGAAGATGAGCACAGAGGCCCATGCATGCTCCATGTGCATTTATTTGCACTCTTCCTTTGTGTACACCAGAGCTGTCCACCTTCTAAGAACCCTCTGGCCACGTGTCTTGTGGGTCACGCTAAAAGAGACCACACCAGTAGGGGGGAAGATGAAGCCAGAGGAAGAGGGGGCCAGGAGACCCTGACTGCAGGGAACAAGGAGGGTAGTGGTGGCTGGGCGGACTGCAATTTAACCCCTCGCAAGGGAACAGCCCTGGTGTATACAATTACCACAGTTATGTGCACCAAGGAACCTTGCAAATGTATGCTTGGGTCCTGAGGAGCAAGCTCTGTGACAGCAAAAAAATTACCTTTGTATTTATTTATTTCTTGCATTAATTCAAGGGGCTGGCCTGATACCAGTGAAGATACCAGCTGGAGACTGTCAGTGCAGCAGGATACACTTTTAGCATCAGCCATAGCACAATGCTTCTTCAGGTCACAAAACAGTTTGGGCCATATTTGGCTTCAGAGCATTTCATGGTGTTTAACGTAGGTATAAGAAACACCCAAAGTAAAGAAAACAGTTACTAAACCATACAGAAGATTTGGGTCTGTTCACATGAGCAAGTCAACTCAGAACGGTGCTTTCTACTGAAAAGTGCACAGGTCCAGCAGACTGGGAGCTCGGACTTCCCAGAAACCGAAGACGAGACTAAAGGTCAGTCGGGCCTTCCTTCAGCCAGCATCCTACACCTAGCACTTTCCCGATTTCAGCAGCAAGCCCCCACGTTCGCTGCTGCAGTACTTTTCAGTGCACAGCACAGTATCAAACATGTACATACACTACTTCTTTGAAAACTATCATACTGTAGAACAGAATAATATTTAATTCCACATTTTAACGTTTCAGTCTTTCTAGTAGTTCTACTCAGGTCCAATACGTGTTAAGTATCGTCATGATAAAATGTTGAACGTTTGTTTCAATGTAGAGAGAGCAGTTTGTTTAAAACCAGAAAGCAGCAGTTGTTGTTCCAGTATTTTCTACAGACAGGGTCGTTCTGTTACATTACCACAAGGTACAGCTTGCTTTTACACCATTTAGTACAGAACTGGGGCTTGAGTATAATTTACTGGCCGCTGTTAAGGAAAAATACAAGGAAAGCGAAAAGCGAATTTCAAATAACATGTTGTGCAACTTAGTATTAGTGATGCTTCCTGTGCATTATTACCTCCTCTGTCTGGGGAACTGCCTAAGCGAAATCTCCTTGAAATTGTTTCCTTCAGGAGTATTCTTACATTGTCGGGTTCAACATAGATGTAAACTTGCCAACATTCGTTTTGATGTGTGATAATCTGTTGGAAGCCTCTGCTGTGTTCTGTACTTCCAGAACTCTGAAATTGCAGCAATTTAACAATTTGTCCTCATTTGCATTGCGAGAACTCAGGAATTCACCTTCTACATTTCATTTTGGAGTAGAGATCTGTAGTGTCCTGACAGGACGCGGCTGGTTTAGGAGATTCACTGGGTCCCTAGTGCATTGGAAGACAAGTTCCAAAGAAGAGACCAAAACAATTATGATTTGGAAAGAAAAAAATCTCAGCTAATTGAGCTTTCAAAAGGGTTTGCGTGGGGTTTGTTTTTCTCCTTTTCTTTCTTTGGTGTATATTTTGTAAGGTGGAGCTTCAAAATTAAAGTATGGATAGAGGAGCTCTTTAAGAAATTCCAGAATAGTTAAGTAAACCAAAGCTCTAAAGGAGGCACACAAAAGCTGCTTTCTTGTGTTTCAAGAAAAGTTTAAAAGTTTGTGATTCATCCTGTAACTAATGCCGTAACTAGAGTATATAATTTGACTTAAATTAAGTTTTCCTTTGAGAAATATTTTCATTTTCTTTAAAAGAATATAGTTTTCTTCCAAGAACTTGGACCAACGTTGACTTTTATTTTGTAGGAAATATATAAATGCCCAGTTTGTATATCATGTAACTAGTTTACATGCTGCAAATATACATTAGTTTAACTATTTTTGTATATATCCTTGTAAAACCTCTAAATGTGCTTCTCTGTCTTTTAGTCCTTAGAATGACTTGTGGTTTTTGTGTTTCAGTGTTTGATTCCCCTGATTGTTGAAGAAAAAAAGATTGGGAAATGTAGATTTATTTATCTAAAGAAGAAGCTACTTGCTATCATCTTAAGTTATTTAATATTAAAAGTCAGAAGTATCATTTAACCTTAGATGTTATAATCTGCTTTTTTCAATAAAGAATTTTGTAGTTATCTTTGATTTTGTAGTGTGTTGCTTGTAAGTAGTTTCTTTTATTTAGATCGCCAGTAGACACATTTTAAGAGACCCTTACATTGCCAATAGAAATGCCAGCTAATATTAATTGACTGCAGCTGTATTCATGAAAGTCTGGGTTTTCTAGTGCAAGTGTTACTAATTAAGATCTAAAATATGCCCACAGCTAACATTTTGCAGCTGCATTTAGAAAAGAATTTAGCCACTCTGGCAATTTTTAATTAACCCGTCTGGCTAGTCCATATATTATATAAAGAATTCAGTTGAGATAAATATTTCCTTCTTAAGAGTTCTGTTATTTCACAGTTTCCACATTGTAGGATCATGGCCCAAGCTACCAATTTTCTTACGAAAAGGTTTTTGCAGGTTCAAGGCCTTGTATTTTACACTGTAGACAGCAACATCAACCAATTGCTTCACTTTCAGAATTTTAACGTGTCCTGGCTATTTATGATGATGGGAAGGCCAATTCTCACCATATATATTGTAGACTGCAGGACCATTTATTCACAGTGTGAGAAGCCATTGTGTCCATTCTTCTTCAATCACTGGCAACTACATAGCACAAGTTAAGTCCAGAAGGATCCACAGAGCATCTATACTGCTCCCCCTACATACATCAAACCACAAAATATGCAACACCAGTAACAAACTTGAGACTATTAGGGCACATCTAAACATACTAAAGCACAGCCCAGTAACTGCTTCTACTGCGCTGTGTGCATGGCGCACAGTTAGTTTTAGCTGCTACTTTGACATAGTGGAACGGGGGAGCGCACTACTACGGTGAAGTTGCCACCGGTCACGTGTAGACTCACGTGAACGCTATGTCACCATAGCATGTCATATGGCGACATAGCGCATCGCTACAGCAATGTAGGGTGACATGTAGACGCACCCTTAAAAAACACAGTCTGAACATCTCAAGAACTACAAGGGGCTACAGAAAGAAAGTGTATCCATCCTTGAAACCAACTTCCTTGTCCTCCCGATGGAAGCATCTCCTGCTGTTTTGTAAAGCTATATGTAAATACATGAATTATCGTTTGAAAATAATTTGGTCATCCTCAGACGTGTTACAACAGAAAAGCACCACATGGGTGACATCTCACACACCCAATCAAGAAAACCAGGATCAAGACAGCAAACATTTCTGCCTATTCATAACTAGCCTTGTTGAGAACAGAGTACTTCAAACAGCAACCTACCCATGTGGACTTCTTACAGAAACCACATGCAGAAAATTAACACAAATACGTACATTATGGAAAAAGAATGAGTCAGAGGCTAACTCAAACCATGGAAGTGCCATGGTTTTACTTTTAAGAACATTTTACAGTAATGTTTTACCCCTCTACTGTATTGTCTGATGGGCAGGGCCAGATTATAATTGTGAAATCCTCATGGCATCAAGGTCAAAGCAAGTCTGCTAATGCACTTCTAGCTTCCTCATTGTTCAAGAGGGGATCTCTCCCTTCAGCTACTACCTGTCCAGTGCCAACTTTTAGGCCTGAGCCATTAACACAGTGCTGACTACAGATGAGAGCTTATGTGAATGGTACTCCTCAAATCCCAGCTGGAAGTAACTGGTTGTGGCTGGAAGGTGTACAGAATATTTTCAATAAATGTGAACTAAATGCCAGGCAGCACTGACTGTACTATGAAAAAGGGACTAGTTGATTTTCATTTTCCATGGTATTGCTGGGCCATCTTGGAGACTGGCACAGCTACCTGCACTCTTTCCTATGGGTATTTGGGCACCAATCCAGCACAGGAGGGCAGCAGTGTGCCAGGCAATACCGCACAAAGGCAACTTGGACCTCAGTGGTGTCTGGAGTTGCAGCTGTCCCTGTCTCTTGTCACTGATTGCACTATAGTTATTAGCTATTTTCCAATGCACAAATTAGCCCATTCACTTCAGAGAAAAAAGCAGCAAGTGGAGAGTGCAAGGTAGCAAGAAACAAGAAAAGGGAGGAAACAAGGTGCTGAAAGCTCAGGAGGTCTGTTCGCTGCTCGCTACATGTTTGCTGCTCAGCTGTTCCACCATTGTAACCACCTGTTCAGTGCCAACAGCAACCAGTGGCAAGATCTGCTAGGGAACGGCTGGTGGCTGCTGGCACCTGCCTGAAACCTAATCAGCACTGATTCACCAGGGCTTTGCTACCCAAACATGCTTACTTGTGCTTCAATCCCAGGAATCAGCAGTATATTGTGGTCACGTGGGTGTCTGGATATATCTCAAGAATGGAGCAAATCCTTACTTAAAGCAGCCACCATTGCTGCCTCCACCACTTTGAGACTACAGGGATTTTTGAGTGGCATGGAGCTTGGGAATATGGCTTTATTAGTCTTGCCACGTGACCTGTAATATGTCCTTTACTGGTTGCTTTAGTAATTGAGCTTTTGACATACAGCAC